CACCGTCTGAGGACACTTTTTACTTTGCAAACGTTTGTGAAAAGTTTTTTTTTTGTATGCATGTATGCAAATGGTAAGAACAGTCCACGGTCTTTAGAGATTGCTCAACAGGCAGCGTCTTTAAAAAAAAAACATTCAAGAATTGTATTTTTTAATTATATAAACAATAAAACCAAAAACGTCTTTCGAAACGACGGAACAATTCCTTTCATTCAGTCAACTTTTAAGCCCATGTATGGACACATGCACAATAAAACAGAAAAAAAAAATGCTTATGGGTAAATGTTAAATGTCAGCTATGAAAAGATGAACCCCTAAAAAAAGAGCTTTGTTCTTTTTAACTCTTAGAAAATCAAGACAAATGGCCAGCATTAGTTTTAAATATTAAACTACATACGGCAGCTCCTGAGAATGTGGCCAGGGAGCTCTTAGCCACAAACAGGTATAAGCATTAGCAGGGTGATGTGCACTTTAGGCAGTAGTATGTCAGTGAGCGTGTTTGCTAGTATATATATATATAGAGATATAAAAAGTAAATGCTATTTAGCACCACATGGCTGAAAGGTAGTAAAGGTTTCTTCTATTTCCATATAGGCAGCACACAGCAGATAATGATGAACTCTGCCCTTGTGAGGCCACCAGACCAATACCTTTAAGATCACTGCCTGTTGCATGAATATAGTCCAGCTACAAATGACTGCACATCACACCAGGATACTCAAAAAATGATAGTGAAAATAACGCTAAAAGAATTGGTATATTTTAAAGGGTTAGCTGAATATTTGCCCTCTAGATGATTATGGCACTCAGAGGATGTTTATTGATACTAAAGAGATTCTGCTTTCAAATAGCGGGTAACTTTTCAAAGATTCGCTTTTTTTTATCCGGTTTCTGGAACATAATAGCAATAAATTATATATATTACATAAAACTTTTTTTTGTTTTTGCCCCCCCCCGTTATATAAAAATATCACATATCAAGTGATGCATTCGTTTCAAACACAGCTAGCTCTTAAAATGTGCGAGTCAGGGTTCCAGGGACGACAGGTCCCTGCCTCTGTCTTTGGAGGAGGTTGTAAACAGTCGGTTTTAGCTCCGTTTTTAAGCCTCGGCATCGCGGTTGCATACGTCTCGCCTCCTTGGGAACGCCGCCAGGTGATCGCTTTGGGAAAGCCGCTCCCTCTGCATCCAGATTTAGTGTTTCCAGGGTGCTTGCAGCATAAAAATATGTCCTTTAAATGTGATTTTTTTGTTTTTGTTTGTTTGTTTCAAAGTGAACAGACCTTTTATTCTGCTTGACAAAAATGAAGCATTTTGCTACATGGAATAAGGTCTATTTTCAAATGCTGAAATGAAAAAAAAAAAAAAAAAAAAAAATGAAGGTTCCTCAAGTTAGTAAATAGAGTTATTAGCAGCTGGAAAATCCTTTTCAATGATAAAATAAAAAGATATTAAGGGAAGAGGGTTTTAGAACCAA